CTCTGTCGTTTTAAGTGGCCTACCACTTCATGGCTGAGTTCCCAGTTGCTGCCACTTTGTTATAATACCACTAACAGTTGACTGTGGAATATTTAATAGCAAGGAAATTTCATGGATGAACTTACTGCACAGGTGACAACCTATCACGGTACCGCGCTTGAATTCACCGAGCTCCTGAGAGCGACCCATTCTTTCACAAATGTTTGTAGAAGCAGTCTGCATGCCTAGGTGCTTGATTTATACACCTGTCGTCATAGAGGTGATTGGAACACCTGACGCCAATCATTTGGAGGGGTGTCCCAATATTTTTGGCAATATAGTGTATGTTCTTTTGTGTTGGTTGCCTTGGTACAACACATGTTAGCGCCTGACACAACGTGTGTTAATGCGGTGCACAGGAATATGACATGAATGGGCCCTGAAGGTTTTGGTTTCTTGGAACGTGTGTCCTGATATAGAAAGAATAAGGAGTCACCCCAGAGCTTGCGTCTGTCTGCCGTGACACATTCCCCATAGGAGCGTACTTTTGTAGTGGGCTCGGCATAGTGTGCCTTGTGATGTGATGCACTCTGACTGAACATATGTTTTTTGCTGAGACTGGTAAGAGATGCATGTACATTTGTAAAAGCAATACATGACAAAGTGACCCAGTTTCTGTCTGCATGGAGATTGTATTGTGATACTCTGTGTGTATAATTCATGATACAGCGGAAGAGGTTGTTAGAACAGTCATGTTGGGTTGTGGGGTTTTTACTTTTTGTAGACTTGGAACACCGATCAAATTCTGCAGGAAGTTAAACGATCCATGTGTTCCACATTAACATGTTCTAAGGGGACTTCACATCTGATGTCTTTTCATGGTAAAGCGACGCTGTCACTTCAATAAAGTATCACACCACTACTGTGTCCTGTAATAAGTATTTGCATTCTAATTAATGGAAAACTTAACTATTTATTACTTCTCACAGAGATCACAATACTCCCTCCCTCTGTCTTTATCTGCTTTCCTATCCAGAAAGACAGCACCATTTTTGTTCAGGCATCATCCAGAGTCCGAATCTATTTCCTGGACTGAGATGCTGGCCAGAGGTGACACAATCATGGAAATACTGGTGCCTGTGTGTTTACAAATCTATCATATTGTGACTTGCACCAGTGTTGCAGTGTCTGATCACAGGGGGAGATTGAGGAAATGCTTCTTCCTGTCTGCAGCAGACCGATGACTGCAACTCTTCCTAGGTAAAGTACCTTGGAGCTTAAAGTGGAACTTTTTGAGCACCACAAACCAAAAATGCTATTTAATTCATTGTTCATATTCAAAGCAAACTCACCCATCCATCCATGTCTCTCTGCTACATTTTGCTGAGAAATCATTTTGAAAAACACCCCCTAGCATTTCTGGCAGTGGCCATATTGAGTAAGGGCAGATTATTTATGTAGCATCTACTTCCTGAAATCCATCTACCCTTAGCTCAGGCATTGGCTGAGCTGAGAACCCTCCCTCCTCTCCTGACAACTGCTGGGATGTATGACGTCATTTGCCTAGACAGGAAGTAACTGGAGAAATGTAAGAAAAAAAAGCTTAAAACTGGTAAATATACTTTCCGATCTATTTACTAATGCTAACAGCATAAGGATTAAAATGTTGATTGAGAGAGCGAAGTTCCACTTTAAGGACTGATTGTAAAGAAATAATGGCATCGGTCAAAAAAAAAAAAAAAATCTATATATCCGACCATGCACAGAACAAAATAGTTCAGCAGGAACTGGACAAATTTTGATCCATGTATGGACTAGCTGCTTGTACACAAGTCGATCTATTGAGACTGACTTGTGTACAACCAGCCTGTTGGGTTTTTCCCAAATGATCAGTCCCGCCGACTATAGCTAGCCAAACTGATGACTGTATTTTGATGGCGGGGAAGGCTTCCTGCCAGCAGAATACAATAGCTCAGTGGGGAGTGATTCCCCCATCCGCATTGAATTTGGGGAAGGGGGAATAGTTTTTTTTTTTTTTTTTTGTTCAGCCCACTGACTGAACAAAAGAAAGATATCGTGCATGACCTGCCTTAGTCGCAAATCAGGTTGCATCTCCTCAGAGCAAAGTCTTTGCTGACAGGCGTACATCTGTGTCCCTGGGAAGCCAGGTGCAACAGTCTGCAAAGTTCTGAAACAGATTTAATACTGAAGATGGCAGATTTCCAAAGCAAACAGAAGAATGAATAAAGTGTTACTACACCAACAACAGAAAAATCAGTCTGTATATGCAGTAAAGCATACTTGTTATACTCACAGTGGAACCTAAGGGGTTAATTCTCCGCATTGTGTAAAAAGGATGTTTGATCCTGTCTTCTCTGATCCTCCTCTTCTACTGTCCCCAATCCATCTGCTGACAGTACAGTGCTCTAGGAGTCACTCTGCACATGCTCAGTTTCGTGACTATTGCTAGAGAGTCGTGTTTTGTTTTTTTTTTTTTTTTCTTTGGGAGAGTGCAGGTAATTTTCTCTGGGCCTATCTGCACTGTCCAGACAGAGGGTCAGGGGTTATTCAGCCTCATAGGACAGTCATAGAAGAATGAAAACTCCTCCTACAGGCATTAACCAATGCTCGGCAGTACACTGATAGAAGTCACAAGACTGCTATATATTACTGATGAAAAAAAGGTTATTTAGCAGTTGATATTTACTACAATAATTGCATTTCCATGTAGTGTGTACTGTGGGAGACCAGATATAGTGAATGCAGGGTCCGGGGTTTACTAACACTTTAAGGCAGTGGCCTACAAACTGTGGCCCAAGGGCCAGATGCGGCCCTTTCCTAGCCTTTATCTTGCCCTTGGGGCACTATTCCTCCCTCTGACATCAGCAGTATGGCATAATTCCTGCCATTGACACTAATGATGGAGCACTATTCTTCTAACAAGTGTCAATGCTGGGACACTATTTCTCCCCTTGACACCAACAACAGGGCACTATTTCCTTAATTGATACAAGTGGTGGGGTACTATACCTCCCACTGATACCAATAACGGGGAACTACTCCTCCGCCTACCGGCCAACAACCCTGAGGCAATGTTTATTCTCACTGGGCCCAGAACATTTTCTATCCCCACTGGCCCCCCTAAAGTCTAAGGGACAGTAAAGCGGCCCTTTGTTTTAAAATTTTTGAGACGCTTGCTTTAAGGTTTCCTGCACACTGGCCGTCTATCTCAGTCTGGGTGGAAGGTACAGAGGCTGGAAGCTGTTGCGGCTGAACGGCGTACGAGCGATAGTTGCGCTCAGGGATGAATGGTTGGAACAAACACAGTCTGCAGCTCAAGCATTTGTCCCTGGGCGCAAACTGCCCCAAACGCAAATACTGCTCTGTGCACCATCCAGCCGCAGCAGCTGTCTGCCTGTCATAGACTGTTACAGGCTGCCAGCAGTGGGGCTGGACAGTGCGCCTGTACCTTCCACCCGCACATGAACTCCGGAGCCTCATGCATTCAGGTGAAACATCCATTGTGCATGAGGCCCAAGAAGTATTTTATTCAGCCGCAGTGTGACTTTAGAGGACTATATGGCTCCAGGCTGTAAACTGTAATAAATCCATGTCACCATTCTCCTCACGGCTCCTGTGATAAATGTCCCTCTTTTTTGCAAAGACATGTAGCAGAATACATTTTGGCCTAAATTTATGATATTTGATTTTTTTAACATTTTTTTACTGGACATGTTTAATAGGAAAAAAAGTAAAAAATATTCTTTTTTTTCTCAAAATTTTTTTTTTTTTTTTTTTTATAGCACAAAAAATTAAAAAACGCACAGGCGATCACATACCACTGAAAGAAAGCTGTCTTTTCATGGAAAAAAAAGGCTGTACATTTAATTTGGCTGCAGCGTTGCATGACTGCACAATTTGCAGTTAAAGTAACACAGCGCCATAGCACAAAAAATGGCCTGGTCAGGAAGGGGGGTAAATCCACTGGAAGGCAAATGATTAAAGTAATTATTTTAAAATAAATAAAACAAAGCATTTATAAATCGGTTCATACTTACCTGCTCTGTGTAATGGTTTTGCACAGAGCTGCCCCAATCCTACTCTTCTCGGGTCCTTTGCTGGAGCTCCTCCCCTCCGAGTGCCGCTGTAGAAAGCCACCACTTGTGTGGGCTCACTGTCTGTGTCGACAGCAGGACTCGGCCCTGCCCCTCTGCATTGCCACTGGCTTTGATTGACAGGAGTGGGAGCCAATAGGTCCTGCTGCCTCAGCAAAACCTGTGAGACCTGTAGGTGAGGGGAGAGAAGAGCTGCAGGGTGGGCATAGTGCTGGATCAAATGAGGGCTCAGGTAAGTAAAAGAAGGGGGTGAGGGAGGATATTGATGCCTAAACCTTTTTTTTACCCTAATGGAAGGAATAGATTAAGGTAAAAAATGTTTACGCTTTATAACCACTTTAATTAGCCCCCAAATGGATGGCGGGTGGTCCTGAACACTGGAAAAAATGGTTGATTAAAAAATGCTGGTAATATAATTTTTTTATTTTACATGTTTAGAAACATTAGCGATTTATTAGCATTTTTACAGTACATGTAGAAAAAAGCTAGAGCGATAGAAGCGTTTTAGTAGTGTTTAGGAGCACTTAGCATTTTTTTCTGCTGGAAAAACACTCCAAAAAACTCTACAAAAACAATTTTTGCTCCTAGACGGTGAAGCTCAAAAACTGCTCCTAGCCTAAAGTAGCATGCATGAACACATAGGATAACACTATTTAGCTTCCAGGAGCAGAAAAAAATGCTAATAACCGCTTCTAGGAGCTTAAAAAAAATGCCTCAGGCTCTATGCACACTAGTGTTGTTTTTTTTTTTTTCCTTGTAAGCTCAAAAAATGCTGGGTAAAAAAAATGCTGGTAATAGCATTTTAGGAGTGTTAGTGTTTTATTAGTTTTTACAGTGTGTTGAGGAAACAAAAGCTAGAAAAAAGCTGTAAGGAGCATTTTAGTAGCGTTTAGCAGCGATTAAGGG